GTAACAGTAGGTATGAACATGAATCCGAGCTGAATGTCATTTGGATTGTAGGAATGCCAGGACTCGATAGAACTACTCTGGCCAACAAAGTGTATACAATACATTAGTTGCTAGTCATTTCAATGATCCTGCTTGATGCATTGATACAAGTCAAAGGTATTGCGGGAGATTCTTCAACAAGTTACTGGCTCGGAAGGAAAAGAAAGTGAGGATGACTTTGCTGAAAAGCCACGAAGAGCACTACTCGATAAAAGGCACCTTATCGTCTTGGATGATGTTGGGATGTTGCAATAGGGGATATGTTAGTAGCTGTTTTCCAAAGGTTAAGAGAGCAAACAGAATTATTAGTGGTCTTCAGAACCAGCTTGAAAGTTCAACAATTTTAATGGGAATTTCCTTTGATTGCAGCACTAACATGTGTTTCTGGACGAATTCTCTACAATCCAAAATAAAATATTTTAGCCCACAGATTTTTATCAAGGACAAGTAGTATATTTGAAGATTTGACATGGCGGATCTACATTGACGGTTTAACATAGATTTAGCTTGAGGGCATTCTGTTTTTATTGTTGTTGCTATAGTTGATTAAAAAAACAGCAATGAAATCGACTACAAAATCACATGAAGAGCTAAGCAAACTGAACAAAACTAAGCCTAGAAATGTCCAAAACAAAATTGATAAGAAAGCTTTAAATCTGAAAAAGAAAATTTATCTCATATGTAGCAGTTGCAGTTCAAAGCCAAGAGACGTACTTAATGACACAATACATAATCATGACATTTAACTTGGTTTCAACAGATAACTATGCCCTTAAACTTTGAGTGTGCATAGACACTTAAACTTGTATAAAATTAAATAAGTAGATACATGTGTCCTACGTGACATAATACTTGTAGGATGCCAAGTAGGACACAAAACTTTCATGTAGGGTGTCATGTAGAATAAATGTGTCTATTTGTTCAATTTTATATAAGTTTAAGTGCGTATTTGTACACACCTAAATTTAAAGTTATAATTGTTGATTGACATCAAGTTAAGAGTCATGTTTATGTATTATGTCTTTTTTAATAGAACTGGGAAAGTTAAGGGACAACAAATTACATTAACCAATTAGAAATAGGACTCCTATAATATATAGTTTATGTTTTTTCCCGTCTTTTAGGGAAACCATAACCTATAAATTGAAGAATTGTATCATAGCTACCACCAAAGGCACGTTAAAGATCTCTATTAATATTAACGTTGTGATCCATTAATGTTAAATATGAATGACATATTACCTGATTGTCTCATTCAAAAAATACTCTATTGTCTTAGTTTTAAAGAAGCAACACAGATGAGCATTCTCTCCAAAACATGGCTACGAGAATGGTCGACTCTTCCTAACTTGGAATTCACTATTAAATGTTGGGAAGACAATATAAATACAATCAATACAACCATGGTGAGATATAAGGAAGGAGAAAATCCCAATACAAAAGTTTGAATTATTAGAGAGCTTTGCTAATTCTCGTGAAGATTTTCCTCTCATTGATAAGTGGCTCGATATTGCACTTCAGAATGGTATAAAAAACATCTTTTTCTTAACTTTAAATCATACCCATGCCTATTTTAAGAATATTGGCAGCAAAATCTATAAGAGAATTGGTTTTTCGGGGTAGTATTCTTATGCCTATTCCGTTTTCTAGTAGTATTGTGAATTGCAATTCTTTGAGAAAGCTTTCGCTAACTCATGTACGATTAGACGAAAACATGATTCACACTCTACTTAATAGTTGTCCTTTGATTGCCTCTTTCATCCTTATGTATTGTTCAGGAAATCTTTGAAAGATCAAGTCGGATTCCCTGAAGGCCTTGAAGATTCATCATCTTTTCGAGATAGGGGAGATTGATGCTCCAAATTTGGTTTCACTTGACTATATGGGGAATCAAATTCCTGAACTTAAAATTGCAAGAGAGTCAAGCCAATTGGAGTACTCAAAAATCTATATTGAATGCATCAATAATTTAAATGTCGCATGATTTTGTGAGTTGAAAAAATTTCTTTCAAATTCGTACTCTTGGTCTCAAGTTACTCTTTATTTTATCAATTGTGGTGAGATCAACACGACAGATTTGCAAATGGACCACATAGGTTCTATCTCGTACGTCGACATTTTAAACGTCAATATTCTATGGAAGAATCAGACTATGGAGTGCCCAACTTATGTGGATGCTTTGTTATGGAGTTGTCATCCCAAGAGACTCAACCTACACTCAAATACTAAAATGATTACACGTTTTATCCATTATTTGATGCGTACGAAGAGTTTGAGTCATTCTACTTCTCATGGAAGCACACTGTGGCATAGTCAATTAAAAGAAATAAAAGCTTTTGATTGAAAAAATCAGTCGCTGCAATTCAGAAGTGGGAAGCTTGCAAAAAGGATCGTTATGGAGGGGAAGAAGAAAGTTCATTTTTATTAGATTGGTGATGCATTTAATTTGTCTCTATTTTGAAATGCATAATATGCACTTATTCTTTTCTAAAGTTTATTAATTTATTTGTCAGATATTTACACCAGCTAATCCAAATATTAGGCTTATGTAATGTGATCTTGAAATTATTTAAAGCTAATTTTATTATAATCACTATTCAATATATATTATATAGAGCAAAGAGTAATGAAGACAGGTTAATAAGAGAAGAGTTTTTACATACTGCATCGAATAGATGACACAAAACACAAAACATATGCACCCAGGCATCGACAAGGTTGACTATGCCAAGGACAATGAGTGAATTCCTCACCCCAATTCAAGCAGGATACCCTGCATCAGCCTTGGTCTTGTCTTGTCGTTGAGCCGAACACAGGAATCTAAATGCACTCAGCATTACCCCTAACTTTCCACATGCAGTTAATATTCCATGGCAAGTCGACCGCAATCTAGCAGGGAAAATTTCAGCAGGCACGACAAATGTAGTGGCGTTGGGTCCAAAGTTGATAAAGAAGAAGGTGAGTGAATAGATGACTACAAACCAGATAAGGTGGCTTGGGAGAGTCCAGTGGTGGTAAGGAATGGCTAGAGAAAACATGAACACTATCATCATTGTGAAACTAATCAATTGAATGGTAAACCTGCCAATCCTGTCAATGAGGAACACTGTGAACCAGTATCCAAGCATGGTACTGCAGAAAGCAGTAAGAGTTTGGGCTAGTGCAACCTCTTCAATTACATTCATAGTCTTGGCAGCAGGAATCCTTCCAATGGCACTGAAGATATACTTTTGGAACAAGTTTTGGCTGTATTATGCAATATCAAGAAGAAGCCATATGCTGTTTGTGCCAAGCAAGTAATGTTCATGTCGCCTAAGAAATTGTTTTGTGAAAAACAAACTTCATTGTCGGACTTTACAGCAGGCTTTTTTTGGTATGTCCCATTGTCAACCTGCATAACCTTCCATACCTGCAATGGCCTGCTTCACATTCTTGCTTACAAGAGCCGTGTAACGAGCCGTTTTAGGCATCTTCATCCTTCGGTAGTAAGTGAGAAGAGCAGGAAATGACCCAGCCATCAATATGATCCTCCACGCATAATTTGCTTAAGGAACGGTTGAACCAAGGGTATCCACTTGATTGAAACAAGCATGGAATACAACAGAGATAATGATGGCAAATATACCCCCTATGAGGATACCAAATCCTTGGATAGCAAAAACAACAGCAATGAAGGCACCCATAGGGTTTTTATTGGCATATTCAGACATAATAGTAGCAGAATGGGGGTAATTGCCACCAATTCCAAAACCAAGCCAGAAGCGAAAGAAGAAGAGGGTGTCCATGATGGTCTTAGGATCCCTACCAAAAGAAAGGTCAGTAGCAATGGAACAACAAGACATAATAATAAGGGTTATGCCATACACTTCCTTCCGTCCTATTTTGTCACCAATCCATTCAAACAAGAGTTGTCCTGCAATGGGTACCACAAAAGGCGACACACTAATAGCAGCAGAAACATAAGGAGGTAGTGAACCGGGATTTGAAGAGTCATCGACATGGTAGTAAGTACGTCCACGCAACTTAGTGATTAGAAATATGCAGAAAGAGATTGTAGGAATCAGTATTAAATCCCTAACCAGCTATTATGATTGTTGTGAAGTGATACGATTGTGAAACATTAAACTTAAACTACAAACATATAGAAAATAATTAAGATGAGTGAAACAGTTGAAGTTATCTAATCAGTACACTTCTGGCAATCAAAAGACATGTTTCGATCAGCAAATCAACACTCAACCGAAGCATTCTCTTGAAGCTACAATAAGAACTCACTTCATGGTCACAAAATTCACAAGCTTAATCAAAACGTATGAATGACGCCATGTTGAAAAAACTAAGACGAAAGGGGTATTGTAAAGGGAAGAATGTTACCTTTCTTAGTTCAGCAAACTTCCACCACCAACTTCAAACTCTGAAAAAATGATGAACAGAATCAAACAGTAAAACGCTACAAGGACGAAAATCACAGTGTACAAATTGGAGAGGGACGTTGAGGTAGAAGAGAGATTAAAAAAAATCACAATCTGCGTTGGCGTGGGATTTTTGTTATTTTGAGAAGCTGCTATTGACATTTCTGGATTTCTTTGGGCCGTGTCGAGAATTGAAGTTGGGCTGGGATTGTCTGGCATTGCAACGGCGGAAAATTATGTAAGCAAGCTAACTTTTACTATCTAATTATATGTTATACCTATAGTATTAATTAATTATAGAAAAGGGTTAATGTTTAAGATTGTTCCCATCATTTCTGTATTAGACGTGTATATTCACATTTCCTTTTTTATACAATTTTTTCACTATCTCTCTCTAACCCACTCTTTAATTCTAGAATATTCTACCGTAGTATCTAGAGTATTCGATCTTAAAAAATATATAGATTTTTAGAATATAAATTTTACTAGAATTTTCTTTTAATTATATTTAAGAAATGTGTTGATATTCTAGAGAGTTCGATATCTGTAGTAAATGATAGAATAATCTAGATCTTGTTGTATCTAGAATGATCCTAACATAAGTATAAATAGGGTGTCCTTAGTCATTTATATGCAACCCAGAACAAAGACAATTAAAAAGTCTTCCTTCATAACAAAGTTCTTCTATCCAAATTCTTACTTTTCTTTTCTTTCTCTTCTTTAGTTGAATCTTTTAATTTTAGTTAACGATCTTGGGCTAACAATCTTTTTCCCGATTATACTTTTCTTTTGCTATCTTTTCACAAGTTGGGATCATTCTAGTCAATTTTAAAGAAAAGGCAAGATTTCTGGTAGGTTTTGCTGGATCGTTCTAGTCAATTTTAAGTCTTCTCAAAGAGATCAAATGGAATCAGAACCCTCACGTCGACACAAAAAGCGGAGGAAACACATAAGCGGTAATCTATTTGCTTCTTTTTCTTTTTCTATTCAAGATTCAAGCTTTAGATCTATCGTTTTGTGATTAAAACTCATTTGTAAAATTCTCCGAAGGCTTCCGGTGAAGCCCCTCTTCCAATTCAGGTATGTATCAAAAAGCTGACTTATCTCAGTCCCTCTTGTGATTTGTGGAATGATACATTTTCAACAAGGAAGAGAACAAGAGGAATGCCAAATCAAGAAATCTGGCTAGTGGAGAAATGAAATTGTATATGCTTATGATTTCTTGGTTTTGGCTACTAGAGAAAACAATGAAGGCCATATTTCAAAAGTGGAAGGCCTTGAAAATTTCAATGAGAGAAAAAATGAAGATAAAAAAGTATTAGTTGTTGGATCTGGAAATTCTGATATAGAAATTGCTTTTGATCTTTGAAATTATGGAAGTCAAACATCAATTGTTGTTAGAAGTCCAAGAAGTTTCTCAATTTTGTCTTTACTTCTTTTTGGTTTGCATCAATGTAGGTTTGTGTTTGTTGAATTTGTAATTGATATCGATGATGTTCGATCAGTTTAGTTGGTACCTCAATTATTTTATTGGGTATATGTTACTTTTTATTAGCACATGTAATATTGTAACTTTGTTCATTAAGAGATTGTTGTTTCTTGACCGTCAACTTCAGGTCATAAAAAAAATTGGGATTCAGGCATGATTTTCATTTATTTCGTTGATCACCCAATCATATATACTCTTGTGTGTGAATTCTGGCTTCTAACATGATTTTTCATGATTGTCATTTTGCTTGTTTGACAGTCAAAATCATTCATTACTCTTAAATGATTATTATTGATTTAATTTCTAAATTTTTATTTGGATTATGTTTTCTTCTTTTGAAAAATACATGAAGTTGGACCAATAGTAGAATAATTATCACCATCGCCACCTGTTGACACCCAATTTTGGACCTCCACAATATAAATTAATTTTTGAGCTTCTTAATTTTCAAACGATTCAGAATAATTAGTTTTATAAAAATTCAAATAATTTTACAAGTGGTCAAATAGTTTTGGTCATTTCTTTAATATTCCAAATAATAAATATGTTTTTTAACTAATTAGTATATTATATCATATTTTTAAAAAAAAATCATCTCAAAAGATTTTGCATTTTTAGTTAATTATCTTATTTATTGGTTTAGTTCAAATTAGGATTATAATTTTGACTATTTAGTTTATTATTGAGTTGATCATTCTGTTTCATTAGATTTAAGAAGCTCGTTAATTGATCTTGTTTAAATTCACCGTATTTATATTTAGCCGAATTCACAAACTAATTCCAATTTGGTAAATTTGTAACCTCGATTGTCTACAATTGCAATCCATATAGCCAAAGCTTAAATTGAGTTCTAACCATATTTAGTTCTAGCCTTAACTCACTTTTGGACCAGACTTTGGGCTCTTTCACTCAAAAAATTCATTCTCAATTATTGACCTTGATAAACCCACTATACTAATATTCGTAGCCCAATTATTTTCTGTCAAACAAAATCCAATACTTTTACTTATAACTATTGAACTTGAATAACCCTATAACAATAGTCATTTCTGTAAGTTACTCTAGTTTACAACATTACAGTCCAATTAAAATACCAAAATAACCCACTTCCAATTTACACAGACGCGTAGAGTACGCCGCCTGACCCTGTTCTTCTTCCTCGCGTGCAACAGACGACCCTACTTTGTATCTTTTTCTTCACGCCGAAACCCAAAAATCCCACCAAATCTGGCGAGAAATCAGCGTAAAATGCAGACCCGTCGCATCTCCAAGCAGCGCCAACAGTGCTCGCCCATACGCTTTGTCTTCCTTTTCTACTATGAGCTGTTGAGAAGCTGCTGTTGGGCCGGGTCGAGAATTAGAGTTGGGCTGGTATTGCAAGGGACTGCTAAAAGTTAGAAAAAGGCCCAAGAATTGAATTTGCTTTGGCTATATCAATCTAAATTATAGCCAATTGAAATCCCGAACATAGCCAGATTGAATTAATTAGTGAAATCGGCTAAAATTTATGTAAGATGAATTAACATAAAAATTAATTAATAAGTTTCTTAATCTTAACAAAATAAAATAGTTAATTTAATTATAAACTAATTAACCTAAAACTATAAACTATTACTTAAACCAAACTAATTGACAAAATATTTTACTAAAACTAAAATCTTTTTGAGATGATTTTCAAATATTCACAAATGTACTAACTATATAAAAAATTATATAAAACATATTTATCATTTAAAAATTATAAAATGACTAATATTAATTTAAAATAAACTTGAAATTTTTTTATTTGATTTTTATAAAATTAGTTATTCTAAATAGTTTGAAAATTAAGAAGCTTGGAAATCAATTATATTAGGGAGGGTCAAAATTGGGAGTCAACAACTGTCCCTCATTTGACTTGGATTGATGAAAGAAATTCGAGGAAAATTAAATTGACTAATCCAATTTCGACCGACCACATCTTCATCTTTTGGAAAAGGGATTTGATACTGAATTTAGGAATTATGATCGAACCTTGAAAATGAGTTTCCTACATATCTTGGGCTATGTGAAGTCATGCCTCTTGTAATTCGATACTCCTAATTTGACATACGATTTTGAAAGAATTTAAAAGTCACCTCGATATCAAATTATGGAGGGACCGAATTGCTCGAAAATAATATTTAGGAGTGAGTGTTCGAATACAACCGAGTTTTTAACACTGATCCCGCCTACATATCCCTCAACTTAGGGAATCAGACTGTTTGTAGTTCGACTCAATCAGTTAAAATGGAAATCTATTATGCTAGATAACCCTTGGTTCTGGAAGAGTGACAAATCAGTCGAGTATGAAAAAGTGGCTTGCAGCCTCTTAATTATGAATGCGGAGCTCTTCACATTCATTAGTAAGAACTTACACGAACATAATTTGTTGTCCATCTTGTATTCCTAACATACTTGAACAACTTGGTAAGACTACAACGATTAGTTTTAAGAACATTTTCACAACTAGAAAATTAAAACTAGTAGCGAAACTAAAATCAGAATCATATTAGAAAAAATATACGAAAAATTTTTCTTAAAGAGGAATTGTTGTTAATATGTGTTTAAAGAATTTTACTGATTCCAACAAACTTTGCAGAAACACAAAGTTGACAATGTTTAATGAACCAGTGAAGAACAAAAGAATAGAAGAAAAACCCACATGTCTTTTGATAGGGGTGTGGTTTGATTGTGGTGAAAGTCATTCATCAGTTCGCTTCATAAGAGTTTGATACTCGTCTTTTGACTATGTCCCAGTTCGCTGCTACGAAAAAATTTCACGTTGTGCTGCATCTTTTTTTATGTCATCAGCACATGTAGTTTGATTTGAGAATTCATCCTATTGGATGCTCTTGACAAAAACTGAAATAAACTTGCTAGTAGAAACTGTAGTTTTTTTAAAAAAGTGGTAGCATCTCTTATGTTTTTTCAGTTTTCTTGGGATAAGTACAAGCAAGGGAGACTAGACCATACCTTACCATTCCTAATGAGTTTAAGAACCTTTACTTTTAACAACCATGAAGAAAATAGAGCTAGAGATAATTATATTGTCTATGATGGTATTACATATGAGAATGCTTTAGTAACGCAAACTCATAAAAGTCGAGAAGAAAGTTGAGTTATCAACCTCAAACTTCCTTTTACAAATTGATAAACTAAAAAATATAGATTGATCTTCTAATGCAACCTGGAGAATTTTCTCTTTTCTTCTTCTTCTTCAAACCTGTCCAGTAACTCCTAATAGTTCATCACTTTTTCTGCGATTTTTTGATTCTTTTTGACATTGTTATGTGATTTTATTTTGCTAGTCAATTCAGTAGGTGCTTTTAAACAATTTCTTAGTCATCTCACCATCCCAACTAGTCTTTCTTTCATGATTATTTTTTTTATTGCATTGTTGCCTGTGAGCAATATCTGCATTTCTTGCTGCATTTGCAAAACAATGATCCAACAAATCCTCTTCTTCACCTTTCTCAAAGATGTTTTCGTCTTGTAGTTATCAAATCTATTTGGAGAGAAATGACTACTTCCACCAAGTTGTAGGTTTTTTTAGTGTTAATAGGTGTTAGAAAAGTAAACTTTTCAACATCGGAACTCATCACATGATCCCCTAAAATTGCAGCAACATCAGTTGATGGCAAACCCTTAACCATACATTACTGATTTGGCACTTCTAGGAACATTTAAATTAGAATTACTGCACAAAATTTTCACTCACTTGGACCACCAAATCACGCTCATCATCATCCCTATTTACAACTCAGTTTCCAACATTTATTTGTGGCGAAGAATTCCTTTGTTGGTTAGGACTAGAAACGTTATTTTCGCTACCAAACTTTTCAGCTTGTGAATGACCTGTAGCTTCAAGTTTTTCATTAAACCCTTGTAACTTTAGCTACTGGTACTAACACAAAGCTAAAGCTGCTACACAATCAGATAGCGAGACATTCCTAATCATACCATCTAGTTGTTGTTGAGGATTTTTAGCTTTATGATCATTATTACCAATTTGTATGATTTCATTACCAGCTCACTTTGCATCTAATATCTCCCTCGCATCACCTTGATATTTTTCAAAGTTCCATCTTTTAATGCTTTTCTGTAGTTTTTATTGCATTCTTTATCAACAGCAATCTACATCCGTTTTCAGCATGGCTTAGGTGCTTACAAAAGGAACAATAACATGGCAATTATCATATACAAACTTCTGAAAGTGATCCATAGCAATTGGCTAGGTCTCGACTTCTCTTTGGTGGTTTTATCAACAGCAATTGCCTTACCCACTGCCAACACAATGGACAGTAACAATTGTTTTGCAATCAAGTATGGCGGTAAATTCGGGAAATATATCCAAACAAAGGCTTTTGAGGTTTGTTATCTAGAATTGAGACCAACTCTCCTATAAAAAATCGGGAAAGACTGTGAATTGGTTTTATCTACAGTTGTGTAACAGGTACTTGATATATTTCACCGCAACTAAAATGTAATCATCATACTTATCAAATCTAAGCAATATCTGTCGACGTGCAAGCCATCCTACAAGGAAACAACCTTGACTTCCTAGTTTTGTAAGCAACAACTTTCTCAATTCTGCATATCAATTTATTTATGGGAAAACTTTATTAGAAGAGCTTGGTGTAAGCCTTTCTCCATTGTATATCACTTTATCTCCTCCTCATGAATTAACAGTAGGTTCCCATGTTTGTTGTTTTGGGTTCGGGAGTGCTGTATAAGAATCTTGAGAATTAGAATTAGGGTTCTTCTCTCCCACAACCAAGGGTTGGGTAGATGACAAACAATCTATGGAATACTTCGCCATTCATGTCACCCTAGTGACAGAGAGGGGAACAACTTTTTAGGTTTCTTGATTCAATTCGTGTTATGAGTAATTTATTGACTTGAAGTGAATCGTAAGTGTATTAACATGGAATTTAACTCTCTATGTAGACTTGAGAAATGATTTTGTAATACCCTATATTTAAAGAAGCTGAAAGCCCAA